TATTGTCCTGAGATAGGTGCCTGCTGTTTGTAACACAGACTGTTTACAACAGCTGTCCCATAAGTGTCCGTTAAATTTTAGTCACAGGTGCCTTTAAGATCCTTTCTTCTGCATACCCTGTTACTACTCTAACTTGCAAATATGATCAAGCTTAAGGAAAACAGTGTGGAAGTATAGTAAGAAGAACTTGGAAACTTTATTTCAACAAATTTCTGTTTTGTAGATGAGGCAGTTGTACCTCTAGTCAGCCAGTTCACTGAGAGTACCTATGTATTTTTAGCATTGAATCAGTGTGCTAAGACTGTAGGGAGAGATGCTGGATTTGAGTCCAAATCAGATTGATTTAGCATTTGTAGCACTCAGGAATATTATAAACTTTTATTTTATTTTTTTTCTATCCTCACATTCTTTTTTCATCTCTCTTCAGCAACCCCCTTGAGATTCAGCTAATTTTTTCCATAGACAGAGGCAGGGTCTTTTCTCTCTTCTCTAGTTCTTCCCAGCTGACCTTCCTGTCATTCAAGCTTGGTGTTCAAGCTTGGCCCAGAGTTCAGTAGTCCAAGCTGTGATTTACAGTGTTGCAACCATGCAGTGTGTCTGCACAGGGCAGAGCACTATCATCTCATCTTTATTAAGATGACATTTGTCTTTTGTGAAAGTGTGTTCATCAAATCATCTTAATAGTAGTGTGTCTTGTGGGTCAGCAAAAATGGCTTTGGCAAAAAAGTCACTGATGGTTATTGGGAACCCTACGAGTCTTTGAAAGTCCTGACACCACAAACATTAGTTCACTGGCTACATGTTCTAAAAGGAATGTTTCGTGTTCAGCTGGAGAAAGGGTTTGAGCTCCAGGTCTCTGTTAGATGCTGTCCTCATTTCTGTGAAGTCATACACACATGTCTTCTGGTCAAATTAGTGTCAGACATCCTGAAAGCATTTGTGATTTTATTTTTTCCTTTCCAAGCGCAAGAATTTCAGTTTGGTTGAGGTAATCTGGTACTTTATTCCAGTGGAGGATAGTGCTTTCTTTTGATAACACTGCTTGTTCTGCTTCAATATGGCTTCATAAAATAAATTTTCATTTGCTCCATGGATCTATCAGTGCTGTATCTAACACTAAGGGTGTTGGTGCTTGACTCCCACAAGAAGCAGCTCTTTCTCTGAGGCTCAGGACCTCTGTAAAGAGACAGTAAAAGTTGCTTCTACAGGGTTAGCAGCTCTCAGTTTTGTGGAGAAAATCTTGGGAAAGGGGAATAAGATGTGGCATCCTCCACATGAGCCACCAGAACTCAGGAAGCAACACTTGGTCAGTTGTTGAGAATGCTGGGCTGGGTGGACTCTGACTTGTGCCAGTCTTGGAAAAGGGAGGCATGGGCTGAGTGTCACCTGTGTTGGGGAAGGGGACTTTGAATGGGGGAATGCTGGCTCAGCATGGGGCATTTCATGGCTGTCTGCTGGAGAAGTAACAGTTTGTGTTCCTACTTTCCCCTCCAACCTTGGGTGCTGCTGTCCTCCTTCGCCACTGTTTTGTGTGATGGGATGGAAAGGGGCAGGAAAACAGTATTGCTGGGCAAGTATGTCTGACCCATATGTAATTTATTCTGAGGAATGTGGGGGAGCACGGGGAAAAAGCTTGAGAATGCTTGTACTGAACTAAATTATGTAGCAAAAAACAAGATCCTTTCTATTTGGTCAGAGTATCACATTCTTTTCCAGATCTTTAGACTGGCAAAAAGAACAACTTCTGATATTCTTTGTTGTTAATCCTAAAATATCCAGAACTACTTTCAGCACCCGATCTGTGCCTAGCTTTCTGTGCTAAAGCTGCTAAATTCCTCACAGTTCTCCTGTATTATTCTTCTCCAGACAGGAAGACTAGTTGTTTTGTTTTGTTTTGTTTTTTAAATCTTCCCTCTGTGACTAAATCCCTCTGTGGCTTAGCCCTATTCTGAACGTTTAACTTGACTTCTAAGCCTCCAAATATTGTCATAAATGTATGTTACAGCAACCAGAGAAAACAGAATAAATCCAAGCACTGTGATAGATATACTTTAAGTAGGTTTGATGTGGAACTTAAAACATATTTTTGAATTCAGCTAACACTGAGGATTTTTCATTTTTATTTTTCTTGAAGCCCTATTTACCTCTGGGGAAGGTAATTTTAATTTTATTGTTAATGTACAATACATAGAAAATTAAACACACATGGATGTATGGAGCGTCGGATAATAGATTCAAAGCCTGTCAGAAGGATTTCCTGCATTTAAAATTATGCTCTTTAGATGATATTTTAAATACATTAACACTCAGGTGATCTCTATTATCCATTTTTAGGAACAGTCGTGCAGTTTAGTGGACATGTGGAATTTACTGCAACTCTTTTCAAGATGGTTCTTCTTTAGAAGAGATGATGGCTGCTTTGAAATTTCTGTAGTCTCTTTAATAAAGGAGAATTCCTAGTAAGAGATACTACTGCAATAATAATGCTTCTTATTGGATGTAGAGAATCAAGTGTCTGCATATAGTCTGTTTAGGATCCTTTACTGTAAAGCACTGGCCTCTTTGAAACAAATAACCAGTCTTTCTATCTGCATTAGTGTAAATAAATAAGGTAAGAAAACTATTAAATGCTTCTCTACTATATGTAAGATGATAAATATATAGAAGTATAGATGATATATGTGTATACATATTTGCAGGATTAGAGGCTAAAAAGAAAAAAGGTTCTATTGAAAACTTGAAAATGAAGCCAGAAGTGTATTCTAGTGAAAGAAAATTTAATAATTCAATACCAACTTTGTTTTTTGCAGAGGCAGTAGGATTTTGAATTGCAGTTACACAATCAGCTACTGGAAAAATGCCAGGTTCTGAAAGTAACTTGGTGTCTTTACATGAGGCTGTTACAAATGTTACTTCAGACTTGAGTGAAATGAAAATTTCAGATGAAAAAGGATCTGTTGAAAAAAGAACAATGACTCTGATTGAGAAGAATGGCTATCATGACTCCGTATACATAAATGCAGCTAAGATTTTTCAAAGCATTCGTACTGAAAAGTGTAAGGAAGGAATATTGGTGCGGTATGGCGATGACTCAGCATCTCCCATGCTGACTTTTAAAGATGAATATTCCAAATATGTATCTCATGAACTGGCTTTCAGTGCTCTAAAATGTAAGTACAAAACTTTTCCAAGAATTGACAACAGAAATGATGCATCAGAGAAAATACAGAATAACTAAGTGCTTAGAATCTGCGTGACATCAGAGATCTGGGGAATTTTTTGTTCTTTGAATTTTTTTGTTCTACTGGACTACTTGTATCCCTCAAATACTTGAATATATCTAAGTGTTGTTAGCATTTTGTGAAATCAAACATTTAAACTCTATACTTCTTCATGAAAAGGAAGTATTTAGAGTTGCTACTCTTTGTGATTGAATTGGCCCTTATTTTTCATAATGTGATTTCAGCTTTTGTGATTTACAAGTTGTTGTTTTTCTCCCATAGAATCATGTAGATTTCGTGGTGTAACTTGTCAATATTTTCTTTCTTTGCAGATCAAGATCTTCTTGAAGAAATACTGTTAGATAGTTGTGTTTACCCATGCCAGTCTATAGTAAGTGAACATTTTCTGTGAGGAAATAAGTTTTGTATTTTCTGAGTTTGATGTAATCAGAATATTTTCTGAGGATTCTGCAACGTTCTTCAAAACAACATTTGTTGTTTTGAGCTACACGGTAGCCTGAGACTAAAATACTGCTGTCCTTTTTAGTTGGCTAAAGCATCAATCTCTAAGGTTCTAGATATGTTCTTTGTGAGATTTTTATTGCACCTTATTGCTGGGAATCAAAACCTTCAAAGAAAGAAGGTAGGAGAGTGAACCATAATGCTTATTGCAGTGTAGTCCTTGCTCAGCGATGTTGTCCATGAGCCAGTCCATGTTCACGCACTTTCCTTCCCAGCTGTGTCCCCTTGTGAGTGGGGAAAAAACTCAGGTTCCCTTCCTGATCCTGGGAGTTGTAAAGCAGGGAGGGGACCCCATTAGAAAAAAGAATACATTGAACCCATGTTTCATTTCCTAGTTAGTCTTTGATGCCTTTGAAAGTTACAAGATGAATTTGAACTGATATTATTTGTGGAGATTGATGTGAGCAGGAAAATAATGTAACACATTTGATTTTTGTCTTGTTACGACATAAGTCTTACTTCCTTAGAAAAACACTCTGTATGTGGTGGTATTTCCCTAATAACTTGAGTTTTCTAACTACTTTAGGTAATATTTGTAGGAAGGTAAGAATTTTTGAAGCCATAAGGACTGTAGGAATTTCATGAAAAGAGGTAGACAAGAGTAACTGAAGTGCTGTTAATTAGTGTCTCTAAGAAGGAGATGCTCCCTGGTTTAAACACTTAGACATGGGAAGGAGATTCTACCAGTGTCCCAACTGCAGAATGGTTATTATATACTGAGCTTATTAGTTGTTATATGCTGAAGAATTCCACAAGAGACAAATTGATAGACAAGTTTTTGTTAACTTAGCTATTCAGGGAACTAATTTATGAGGAGAAAATAATTTCAAAGTTCAAATTCTGGTAACATTAAAAATTGTTAAGATATATTATTTGTGTTTATGGAGAATGTTTTTAATTTTGATAAACTAAATAACTTTTAAGTTGTGTATTTTGAGTTTTTAAAAAATGGTGTTTTACTAGCTCTGCATGATGAATTACTTTGATATTCTTACAAATAAGTGTTTCACTGGAGTTTTTAATGCCTCTTACATAGGAGACTGCTGTTTGAGACGGATCTTTTTGCAGAAGTAAGACATGCTTTGTGTCACTGTCGTGATTTGAGCCCAGAGGGCAACTGAACACCACACAGCTGCTTGCTCACCCCTTCCACCTCAGGAATGGGAAGGAGAATATAAAGCAAAAGGCTCAGGAATGGAGATAAGGACAGGGAGGGATGTCTCACCCATGGTTAGGGACAAAAGATAGACTTGTTGGGGGAAGAAAAAGAACATAAATTTAATACAAAGACTAACAACAACACTTAACAGACAGAGTAGGACAGTGAGAAGCATTACCACATCTTGGAAACACCTTCCCCCCACCCCTCCTTTCTTCCTGGGCTCAGCTTTGCTCCTGATTTCTCATTCCTCCCCACCAGCGGCACAGGGTCAGGGGATGGGGAGTGTGGTCAGTCCTGCAGCTCCTTCCTCCTCAGGGAGGACTCCTCACGTTCTTCCCCTGCTCCAGCGTGTTCCATGGGAGACAGTCCTCCACAAACTTTCTCCAATGGGAGAGTTTCTTCCCCAAGAGTGAGGAAGAGTTTCTTCAACTCTTCCTGAGCTGCTCTGGTGTGGACCCTTCCCACATGTTCAGCACTGGAAGGACTGCAACTGCAACAGCAGGGATTTCCCAGAGTCCCAGTCTCCTTCGGGCACAGCCACCTGATCCGGCATGGGGTCCTCCATGGGCTGCAGGGTGACTGCATCTGCTCCACTGGTGACCTCCATGGGCTGCAGGGGCACAGCCTGCCCTCTCGCCACGGGCTGCAGGGGGGAGGCTCTGCTCTGGCAAAGCTCCCCCCCTTCCTCTTCCTTTCTTCTACTGACCTCGGTGTTTGCATAGGTGTCCACCTCACAACTCCCCCTCCTTCTCCCAGGTTCCCCTTCTTAAATATGTTATCACAGAGGCATGGCCACCATCGCTAATTGGCTTGGCCAGAGACAGATCTGACTTGGAGCTGGGGAAACTTCAAGAAGCTTCTCACAGGGGACCACTGCTGTAGCGCTGTCCCCTGCTATCAAACCCCTGCCACACACAGACACAAACCAACACAGTCACTTTCTCTATCCAGTTGTTTTTCTGTTGCAGCCAGATGAATTGACCAGCTTGCTTGTTGTGATGCTTTATGATCTACAAGACCGAAAGTTTCAAGCACGAGAGATTTGTGATGAAGAGGAATCTGTAGCAGAAGTTCGGAAAATAGAGCATTATCTAAACAGGTGTACATGCTAAGAACTTTTTTTGAATCATGGAATCATATAGGTTGGAAAGGACCCTGTGTTGCTGCTGGATTTAGAATAGCCCAAAAAGTTAATAAATATCAGTGCAAGGTTCCTGGAGTGTCTAAGCAATACACCTTGACATCTGAAGTAGCTCACCAGTAATTTTTATTTGCTTTTAATTATCATGTATCAAGATTATGCATGAAGCTTGTGAAACGAAAAGACTGGGAATATTTCCTCTGAAATTCTCATGTAATAATAAAACTGATGCCTGGTTGCCATCATACTTGTGTTGTTTCTGTACACATTTAGGGGTCAGCTTTTATCAAATGCTCATTCTGCACATATATGTATTTATATCTTCAAACGTACAGAAAAAAGCTGATGTATTCCACAGATTGCAGTTCCAAGACATGGGAGGTTTTTTTAGCTTTCTGAGAAAATTGATATATTTGGGGGTTGTCTTGTAATTCATAATTCCCTCGTGCATTTAAGTAAACTGGTGTCAGCTATGTAGTATGACCTTGCATCTACTTGTTTGTGGTAGAAAATTTCCTATAACTCTGTATTTTCCCTAACAGCGTGCAAAATAGGCCCCACGTTTGGTTTTGGTTTCTGAGTAAGATACTATTGTTATAGAAATGTTGCATGTTAATAGCTGATGTAAACATTTATAGAACTTAATAAACTTGGGACTGTGCTTTTGTAGTTTTAGGACCAAATTGGCAGCTGCGCTAGCAAGATGGCGCGTCAAACATGATGCCCTTTCAATTGAATACATTCTACCAGAAACCATACGGAAGCAAGAACAAAGGGCTTCTGCTTTACCTTTATGTGTTTGGATAAATACATTTAAAATCAGGTAAGGGCTGTAAAGTATCATTTAATATTGAGGTTTTTACATATGAAGTGATATAGTTTACTACACACTTGGTTTAGAATTCCCAGGTTATAATAAATTTCTTACAGTACATTCTGCTTAGTCCAGTGACATTGTATTATGTTTGTAGTTTTTATATATTGCAGTAATGGTATTCATAAACTGTAAGAAAGCTGTGAAACAGTTTTTCTTACTATTCTGTTATTTGTGTGGGACTTTCACCAAATAAATGAGGAAATAAAATTAGAAAAAACTATATGAGTAAACCCCGTAATGAAAAATACATAAAATTGGCAAAAGGTGTTAAGACAGATACAATACTTAATACTGGTGTTTATTCTGTAAGGTAGCGTAAGCTTGAAATAAAAACACACTTTTAAAAATCCGTATATTCAGTGGCCTACTATATATGTAACACTGGTGTTCCCAGTCCTGTAATAACTGGTGCATGAACCATACCAGGTTATTCTGTTACCTGTTTTGTTAGACAGGTAGTCCATTTTATTATATTTTCAAGAATTTTGTATTCGTACTCTTGTCTTGGACCAATGTTCAGTGCTTAGGTTATAGGCTTTTCAAGATAGAGAAGGTGTCTTAGTCTGGTTGTGATTTTGCAGCCTTTAAATAAGACTGAACTAAAAGCTGCTGCATTGATCCTACATTTAATGTACTATGTACCATAACTATCTGAAACTGCATTTCAGCAAACAAGTCTTGGTGTATGTACTTTTGAATCTTTATGATATTTGAATTGCAAGCGTCAGCATTTATGTCTTCATTACATTTACAGAAGGATTATTTCAGTTATCAGCCATTAAATTCATTGGTGAGCTGGGCTAAGTTGAAAGCAATTGAAAGAACTAAACTATTGCAGCAGTAAATTTGCTACAGTGTCTCCTGAGCACACAGACATTTATGTTTTGATGCTTTGAATCATCCTCTGGAGACACATACCTCTTTCTTAATTTATTTTATCAGACTTATTAACTTGTTTCAAACCAGAATGTGTATGCCTAAACCAGAGTGAATTCCCTTCCTGCATTAGGCAGTATTGCATTTTATATATATATATATGCATATGTATATACACACACACTAAAAGAATAAAAGGCAAAAATCCATATAATCAATATGAACTATATTGCTTAAGTAACTGTTGTGTATTTAATGGTCAAAGTTATATGTTAACAGCCTTCAAGATCTTTTCAGTGATTTGAAAAAGAAGGGATTCACAAGAGTTGAATCTGTGTCAGACTTCGACCGTTACACATACTGTGTGGACCAACATTGCCATGACGTATTGTTTTTTCCTTCCTCTCTTAAAGAAGAACTGCTTAATTTAGATCTTTTTGCAGATTGCAAGCTCTTACTGCAGGTGAGTTGGTGTCACCCTTGAATAGACACCTTGAATTACTCAAGCGTGTCCAGAGAAGGGCAATGCAGCTGGTGCAGGGTCTGGAGCACATGTCCTACGAGGAGCAGCTGAGGGAACTGGATTCTGGAGAAGAGGAGGCTGAGGGGAGACCTCATCGCCCTCTACAGCTACCTGAAAGGAGGGTGCAGAGAGCTGGGGATGAGTCTCTTTAACCAAGTAATAAGCGACAGGACAAGAGGGAATGGCCTCAAGTTGCACCAGGGAAGGTTTAGACTGGATATTAGGAAGCATTTCTTTCTGGAAGAGGTTGTTAGGCGTTGGGATGGGCTGCCCAGGGAGGTGGTGGAGTCCCCATCCCTGGAGGTGTTTAAGAATTGGGTTGACATAGCGCTGAGGGATATGATGTCAAGGTCTTTTTCAACCTAGATGATTCTGTGATTCTGTAGTAATATCATCTGCAAACTAAAATAATTGCTTGGCATTAGAATGAGGGCATGTATTGTGTGACTGTCCTATTAAATCAGGCAGCAACATACTCTCAAAAGGTTTTGGGTGTTTTTAATAATCATAAAGTTGGAAACGGATTCACTTAATAAATTTAGCATGTAAATATTAATGCTTATAATTACTAGTTACAATTAAATTATTAAAATGGTTTAAATTTAATTTAAAAATTGTTGAAATAAACATCAGAATTGGTCAAAGAGGCAGTCTCACTTCTGAAAATGAGGAAAGTTTCTGTGTAACTCTACATACATTACTCTCAGTGAGTAGATAGAATAGTATGCTGATACAATACATCTTTGCCTCCTCAATGGCATATTTGGGATGGAATGATGATGGTTCTTTGTATTTTGTGCAGTGTGGTTCCTAAATGTCCATGAACCCCTCTAGTCTTTTTCCTGACTTGCTGTCATTAGACTCTCCAGGCAAGATTGGTCAGAGGTTCCTGTTGTAGAGTGGTGGTTTGGAGTTACCCTTCAACAACACACAACCACAATTTATCTTAAGTGTCTGGTGATCTGAGTGCTTAGCAGAAACATTTGAAAGGGCATTTTCCATAGATGCTTAGCATTTTCTGGAAATTTTAGCCTGAAAATTTATTACTCCACTTACAAAGTAATTCTGAATATCTCATTTCAGTGTGTGTATTTTGAATAGGAGACTTACAGAAAAGAACTACACATGACAGCTCCACAGGTCACCAGAACAAATTCTGAGTATTACTACTTAAGAGTATCACAGTTAGGAAACAGAACCCTCAAAAACTCCATCTCTGTGTGGTGGGGTCAGTGGCACCTAAATGGTGTAAGTAGGTACAGAGACATCAATGTGAACTTAAAGGTTAAGCGCTTTTTTTTCCTTAACACCAGTATTTTCCAGGTGTGGTGCAAAACTTGGTACCCGTAGTCTGTATCTTCACTCTTTGCCTTTTTAATTAATTTGATGGAGATAATGTTTGATATGTATCTCTCTCTTCCACACCTGTAGTATGAGATCACTCTTGTAAATGTGCTTTCTGTATTCAAATCTGCCTCAGTGTTGAAATTTCTGCAAAATCTTAGGTTTTGATTCGTAAGGGCTTAATTTCTCCTACAATTATCTTCAAGAGCTGTGTGAATAGTTCTGCATTTCTCTGTTAAGCTACCTCTGAATTTTGCATATTGTGGGCTATGTCTTTCTTGGAACTGGCTGTCACTAAGAGTTCCTCCTTGTGATATGCATTTAACATTTCTTTTCACCTATAGATACACTTTCTTATGCATTAATTAGAATTAAATTATTTAAATATAGTGAGTTTAACTTAGTAAAATGCTTGGGTTTGTACTATAATTCTGTTTTAGCAGCTATCCATGATTAGTTTTTCTCCTTCCTTCTTTCTAGTTTGTCAAGAAAATGATGAAATACTTTCCTAACTTGGAAAGGAAGTGTGGCAGTCATAGAAACCAAATTAGTTGGGTCATATTTAATTTTATGTCATTGTTTTCTAGGATAAGTCTCGCAGCCTTGCTGTGCACTCTGCACAGGCACTGTTGAATGCAGGTGATGACGTTATAGTGGCTCATGTAGGTTCCCACCTGACCATTGCCCATATGTCAGCGCTGACAATTCACAGCATGTCCAGAATTTTTGTTTGTGGTGTAAAATCTTCAGCAAAAGCAGACGAACTGAGGAACTTGTTCAGTCACATGGGATGTAAAAGTAGGTGTTAAAACAGTTGGTGTGCATAAAGTATTTAATGTAGATGTTTGTGATATCTGTAAATATGTCATGCTTCTGTCAGGATTCAGTGATCTCTTGTCTGAGGATTTGGGGAGGGCAGTAGCAACTTATTTTTTGCCATAAGGTGAACTGACAACTCTTCAGCTACAGTCAAGTTAATCAAAAGTTGCAGAGTAACCATCACAGGCGAAGGCTCCTGAAATGTCAGGGTGAAGCTTTCCATATAAGTAGTTACTGTAGAGTGGTTGGTGTAGCTGCTAGCTTTTGGATTCATTTATTTGGTGTCTCAGCTGTTGCCTTCAGTCTCATTTTCACCGTTAATCCAAAACAGTTGTACTTGTCTGGTCTACCCGGAGGCACAGAATCAGAACAGAATATAACAGGACTCTGGGACCCCATTAGCAGACTTTTCAGTGCAAGATGCCAAGGTTTAGTCCTTCAGTCTGTTGGAAATCAGTGGGACATACTTTGGAGGACCTCGGTCTAGCAGCCTCTAGCTCTGTGGAAGTCTGTGGACACTAGTATCTTCACCTTTATCACATCAAAATTAGGCAGGCTTGCTTGCATGTAGAACTGTTGATTTTTTTCCTTTTTTTCAGATATTCATTTGTTACATGAAGACTTTACCGACATTGGACCAACCGACCCGAGAATTCAAGAGGCAAAAGTGATTTTGCTACTACCACAATGCTCTGCGCTGGGTGTGGGCAATCCAATAGACTTTATTTTAAATGAACACAGAGGTAACTTTTGATACAATAATTAGCTCATGCTTTCTGGTAGAAATAGTATTCAACTACTGTAGTCTGGACATCATAGCTGCTTCAGTAAATGATATCATTTTATAAAATACCCTTCCATTTAGATATTTATTTTAACTACTATAAAACATATATTTTAAATAACTTGCATAATTATGTATGTCTAATGTACATGCAGACTCCTATGGGAATACAAAAGAGAATAAATAAATTACACAGATGATTTTTTTCCCACATATTTGGCCTATTTTAGGATTCTCAACAAGAAAACAATCTTTTTAGGTGGCACTGAAGGATTAAGAGTGTTTTGTAAAGGTAATTTCAAGTTAATAGTATAACATTTGAGGGTTATTCTGGGGAGCAGAGTGTATATAGCCTTTCTTTCAAAGTGAAACAACTATAGATAGAAAATTTATTTCAAGATACTAATGAATATATATATAATTTTCCCTGGATTGCATTCCTTTATTGTTTGTCTAAGTCTATTCACTGTACAATTTTCATTACATAGAAACAAGTAAGAGGCAGTAGTAATTACAGTAAAGAAGGAAAGAAGAATCATTTAGGCATTCCTTGGTATTGTCATTCATAAAACCTACCTTTCCACTGCACTAGTAATAATCATCTCTGTTACCAAAGAATTTTCTGCAAACAGCTGAATTTTAAGACACTACTACAAGTTGCATTAATAAAGTCATAACTTTTTGCATTTAGATGCAGGACTGCTAAGAGACCTTTTCCGAGGATCTGTATCTGAGGATAAACTCAGTATTATGGCTGAGAGGCAGCTTAATGAGTTGATGCACGCAATGAAGTGTAAGTGTGCAGCTCTTGGATTTCTGGGAACACCATGTACTGTCATTTCCATTGCACTGCCACCAGGTTTTATATAGTTAAAAATAAGCTGATTATGTTATTAGTTAACAGTAAGTGTGTAACAAAACTCCCTAAACATCTTGTCAAGATTAAAGGTATATCTGTGTCCTGGTATTCAGCAGCTATTAATACAGTAATCTTCAGCATTGTGTTGTGTAGTGAACTGGTTTACTGCCTTAGTCATACTCTGCTTTGGAAAAGTTGTAAATGTAGTCTGAATCCATCTGCATGTGGCCAGTTTCTGCCCCCCTCCTTTGGTAGCTGTGTGAAAAGAGTGGATGCAGCCCTGAATTTCTACTGAAATCTGCAAATATTTGAATATATTTTAATTATTAAAAAACATTAGAGACTGAGTACTAATCTCTGCAGGAGGATATATTTTATTTGTAAAAATGACATCCAAGCACAATTTTTATGCTGGTTTCAGTCCTTACTAAACCACTGTGTATGAAGAATATGAACAGTAGAAAACTTTGTTTGTTTTGTAGTTAACAAAGTACAAGCTATTGTTTACTGCACTTGTTCAATTTACCCAGAAGAAAATGAACTAGTAGTGAATAAAGCACTGGAATTTGGAGTGGAAGAAAACCAAGTACAACCATATAGGTATGGAATAAGGAGTTTTCTCTATGGAAAAAAATACGTGTAACTTTAAATTGTAGCATAATTCTTATCTTAGACTGATCTCTCTTGCATTAGTTTAACATTTAAAATAATTTTTTTCTGCCCCTCACTGCATTCCTTTGATGTTATCTGAGTACTAAGTAGCGTCCTCTTGACTTTTTCATTTAATAGTTTTGTTCCCATCTGAAATTGAGATGGGAGGAAAGCATCACTGTTGGAACTAACATTGTGGTGAGCTTCTGATAGAGCTTTCATCTTATCAGTATTCAGAGAATGAAGCTAGTTTAGGGTAAAATGGAGAATGAAGCTAATTTAAGGTCAAATGGAGACTAAAAGTCAGGGAACTTGCTAGCATGCTCTCAGCTTCTCACTTAATGATCAGTTTCAAAGGACAAAGAAACCCAGTCTTAAAATGTGAGAATAATAACCACCTCTGCTGTAGGAGTGCTCCTCCCTGTATTCAGGTGACTGACTTATGGGGGGATAGGTTACAGTAGAACATCCTGTGCAATCGTAACAAATGCAAATCTATATGAAAGAAGTTTGTGCATTGTATACTTCATGTGTAGTTAAAACCTGTCAGCTGGAGCAATGTAAAAAGACTGATGGATACTTTCTGGATTTTCCTTTCAGTCACAGTAGATCAATGCAAACAGTTGGCACTTACTTGCATGTAGAGATAATAGTTGATTGCAGGATGCAGGTTAAAAGCACAGGAGAGTAAAGCTGTATTTTTAGATTTTATATTATCTTAGATGGTGTTAATGACTTGGCCATTCTGGGGAAAAATACTGTGGTTCAAAATAATCGTTCAGTGTATTTAAATTTTGCATAATTAAAATGGTAAATGTTAACTCTGGCCAGTCCAAATTAAAAAGAGGTATGTTGCACATAATGTTAAGATACAGTACAACAAAATCCATCTTTCTTGTAAATCACTGATAGGAAAGAGCAGCCTGCTTGAAATTTTACACTAAATGGGATGAAGTCAGGTTATGTCTCGCCAATGATGCTATGCTCGTCCAAAAGCATTTATGGATTCTTGCTGTAAAATGTGTTTTTCTGTGATGTGAAATTCTGTGACGTCTGTCATGTCTTGACGTTTATGCAGCTATTGCTCTGTGGGGAGAACTTACGGGGACCTTGGAGCATAACAGTCTCTGAATTATTTGAACACAAATACTGCATACATTCAGTATATATATAAACCCCAGAATTTATCTTAAAAAAAAACCCTGTTTTTTTTTTTTCCCAGAAAAAAAAATTCCCCCTTGTCTAGAACACTCCTCCTGCCAAGCCAAACCAAAATCTATTCAGTGTTTTGCAGAAACATCATTAAATTTGTCATATCACCAAATTATACTTCTACTTTCAGATAGAAGACAATCTTGGATGTAAGAAAGGGAGAATAAAATTACATTAGGTTTTTTGTGGACCTGAGCAAATTCGTGACTGAAGACTGAACTTCATAAATGACGATTCCAGAATCAGTTCCTCCTTCACACTTATGGGCATATCTTGGATGTTTTCATGCATAGTTCTTGCTACAATAAAGCTGCTGGTACCAGTTAAACTGAGCAGTAATAGAACACCATAAATAAAATATGTAGTGTAATTATGCTTAAGATGAAAGCTCAAGCCATTTAAGATGCATGTACTACTTACAACAGTTCCTTGTACACTTTCCCTAGAATTAATTAGGTAACTTATTTGACTAAAAGAATGCAGGATAGAATGAAAGACCATTGCAGAATTACTAGTTTATGTTCATAGTAGTGTCTTTGAGAGGCAAGTTATAACATAACCTGTGTGATCATCACAGACCTACTTAATATTAATTTCCTCTTCCAAGAAAACTGAGGGCTTCTGGGAAACTCTTATGCCAATTGTGCTTATGTGTATTATATCTTTTGGAATTACTTTGCAGTGCTGGAGTGATGCTGAACCAAAATAAGGCTGTGCTGGATTTTGGGGTCATACAGCTGGTCTTAGGGCTGTGAAATTGTAAAGGTGATTTCAAATTTACCCACTGTCTTAAGATGAGCTTACCTTAAGTTTATAGCAAAGGCTTTGCCTTATGTAAGGGTACACATTGTGAACAGGTGTGTATAGACAAGACGCGAAACCATTCATGCATTTCCCTTTGGCCTATCAAATTCAAGATATTTATTGCATCAATTTTCACAGTCATACCATCCGTTGAAGGGATTCCTGGTAACAGTAATATGTATATATCAATCATAATAAAGATTCCTACTTTTTTGCATTGAATGACCAGATCTAAAAGCAAAAATCTCCTGTTTGTCATAAGACACTGAGTTTTATTTAGTAATGCAGGGAGGATATGAGCCTTTGTAGTCTTGTTTTACCAAGTTCTGAGGGACATATAAGAAAATCCAGATTACAGTGAAAACTTGGGAAAAAACGGTTTTGCAGACTTCCCATTTAAAATGGACTAGCCAGCCAGATCAGGATATTCCTTACAAATACTGAATCTATTTCTCTGTAACCATCTTTGAATAAAGCTCTGTCTCAAGAGGATCAAGGGAGCATTGACGAGGGGCTGTATCTTGAAGTCCTGAGCAGTGCAAAGAGGAGGGGGTAATAATTGCATAAGGATATTTTGATAGTGTTTGTACTGCAACAGTTTAGTATCAGTTTAGCAGCCTTCTGAGCTGAGGCCTGTTTCTGTCAGTTGTTAGGGATTACTGGAATACAGACAGAACATGAGAAAAGGCTAGTCCTTCCTTACGCACTGATACATTGTAAAACTATACATTTGAAAAAAAACAGAACTCAATTATTACATTTTTTTCTAACCTAAGATTTTTAGCTTAGATAGATGTATTATTTATTATGAGCATATACTTAATAACTCCCAAGTTAACACCGCCACAATTTTTGTGTACTGCTTAGTGTTTTCAGGGTGTTCTGCAACTTCATGGACAATTTGATAATCCAGTAATTGCAGACCCAAGAAAGAATTGTTAATTATGCTCATACATACTTATTATCTGGTGGTTAATATACTTAATTATTAGAAAAAAAGTGAATTATGGGAAAAAATTGAAAAAAACAATTCTAAAAAGATTGATTCCCATGTCTTTCTTGAATTGCAGTTTTTTAAAATGAAGATAAGCCTCTATAAGATTATCACTGAAAGACATAATCTGAAAATTAATTTTAATACATTCTTGTTTATTTCCTTTTATATCCTTAAATATTATTTTTCTGGTCATTTGTTTATTTTTTACAGGATTATTCCTCCTGTTTTTTCTACTTCCTCCAATACAGAGCCTTCCACTGAAATTTTTTTCAAAATGGAGCCATCAGAAGTTTCCAGTGGCTGTTTTCTAGCTGTTCTAGCAAGAGAGGTAAGCTAAGAAATTTACCATTTAAAAACACTTTACAGAAGAGGAATATTGCCATTTTCCACAAAAGAATATATGAAATGGCACATTTAAAAAAAAAATCCTGGCTATTCTTAAGTTGTCTTAAGAACAAAGAATAGGTGAGCAGTTGACATGTGCCACTTCTAGTTTTATGTTGAGCAGAGCTTTCCAACGTGTGCCGTTTCTTCCAGAGCTGTTTGTGGTCAGAGCAGTCTCCATCTAAATCAGTGGTAGGACTATCTAGAGGAAATACATTGTTGCTGTCACACCTTAGAATGAAATACACAACTTGATTAAGACTCATGATAAATGGTGTTTATAGTAAAGTTATTTATGTCATGTCTGTATGTGTCACCAAGTTTTTCCAGTATTCAAGCAGACAGTGTCACCCGTAGGGATTAAGTTTATTATAATTTGAATAAAGTAGGTATGAATATGTTTCCTTCCAAAAGTAAGGCACATGCAAATCTGGCTTGAAAGGCAGGGGGCTTTTGCTGAGTAAATGGAAAAGTCTTGGCATGATTCCCAAGGAAAGGCCTTAAAGGGCTAGTTTGCATCTCTGAGCATCAACATTTTCCTGTTGAAGGAAGGAGGGGAGCTAATTAGAATTTCACTGAAAATTAAAGATATGCAATCTTACTTGGTTATTTGTACCACTTTCTGTCATACTGCTGTTACAGTGCTTGAAAAAGGCTTGTGTCTTGGGGGAAATTAGAAGATTTTATTAAAAGTAAGAGAATCACACATGAAAAGCCTTTCAAGTTATCTACTATTGACCTCTTTCTTTTCAGTGTAAAGTATTTTTTAATCTGGCTCCCTGAGCTAATAGGTTTTAGTTAATCATGCTGTGTACATCCGTCTACCATACTTTCTCTTGCCACAGAAATACTTTTGTTTCAGGTAGTTGATTTGAATATTTTTTCAGTCAAATTCTAATGCACAGAAGCAACTGCTCCAATGGCCAATTTTTAGGTGATTCTGGAAATGAAATCTTCCGCAAGGCAGAAAATGTGTACTTATAATTTAAACTGAAATTTCTGGTTTACAGAAACCCTTCTTGGCTAGTTGTAAATAGTTTCTTCCCATTGCCTCTCTTTACATACTTGGATGTTGACCTGGTTCCTAGTTAATGTAGTTTGAGTTCCTTGCTTATCTATTATGAACAAGGATTGTCAGTATCATGAAAATTATTCATGTTTAATGTTATTGATAATATTTATGTATTTAAGTAACTATTTCTGACACACACACATACATATATGTATATGCATGTTATTATAGACATGTTACAGAGAAAGTCACTGTGGGACATGTAGTACAAAGTCCAGGATTCACTTTCCCCTCTTCAGGCCTGCAGGAAGAGCAAATGCTCAGATACCTCTTTACACAACAGTCACATTCTTAATTTCTTGAATGAATAGTTGGGTTAGCATTTATCCCATGACTTAAGACTTTCTGCTAGATTCTGACATAGTTCTCTCATGGAGTAAATTCTGAGGAATTTGGGATTAAAGTATTGAGTTTGCAGTTCTGTGTTGTGGCTTAGATGTGTTGTTGTTTCCTTTGAAATTTTCAGAAAGATTCTCCTGAAAATGTGTCTGTTCAAGATATTTTGGCTCGTGCTGCAGCAAAAGGACTACTGGATGGCACTGTTGTAGAAAAATCAAAGGAAAAGGAGAAAAAACAAAAAGCAACACAACAAACACAACGCAGACATAATATTACTGGTAGTGGTACAGAGCCAAAGACTTCAGAGTTTCCTCGCTATCGAACTGTATCTAAGGCTGAAGTTTGTGTGTCTAAAGCAGTCAGTACCAAACAACAAAAAAATGTGAACCGCACAAAGGGCTATATTCAGCTGAAAAAATCTGTCAGCCCCGTTTCAGGCTCAGCTCTGCCTAAAGTGCTGAAGCACACATCTCATTTGTCACCTGCAGGCAAAGCTTATGAGAGACAGACATCTGCTAGAAAGGCACGTGCACAAAAGGAAAGGCTTGTATTGAAGCCTGTGGAAATTGTTTTGCCTCCAGTGATAACACCATATGGAATATCACAAAGAAACAAACCCAAACCATCAAATTGCTTTCATGGCTGGACTGGAGCAAAGGGCTGGACTGGTAGGATGTTTCCACCACCTGTCTAAAGGGGTCAAAGCAACTGGGCTGGGCTGAGCTGTCCTTGACCACAACTGTAAGAATCTTGCAAACTTTGCTCTACCTTTATACAGAAGGTAAAGATTCCTGTATATATTAATCAACACATTTAGATTACAGTAAACCTCTATGCATCTTAATCTTGCTGTGGGAAAGATATATTATGGGATATTTGCATAGAAATATCCATGTTAGTGCTTTTTAAACCAGTAATCACACGCTCAGCTGTGTAAGGTGGATAGACCATTGCGGAGAGCGAGGTAAAAAACCTAGCTTCTTGCTAGACACTTTAAAGCGACAAGTTAACACTTACATTCCCTCCCCCTGCACCCCAGCTGCATAGATCTGTAGGAATACTCAATTTCAAATTCATTTTAAAAGACTGCATTTTTAGCGGCAATTTCTCTTTACAAGTGCTAGATACCATTTTTGTGGCTTCCCATTTAGACTCTGACACATGGAAAGTAAGCCTTGCACTGTAAGCCACAGCTTTATTTCTCACCTTTAAAGCTCACCTTTATTTCTAAAACTAGATGTGAACTTTTGTACAGGCAACTGGCCAAGTACATACACTAAAGCTCATGCATAGGCTTTCTAGTACTTAGTCCCTTGGTTTCTACTCAGGTGTGTTTCAAAATATTAGTGAAAACTAGATAAAATATTCTAATGTTAAAAATACTGAATTGTGATCATAACTTCATGTGGACTGTGTCGTGGCTCATGACCGCTTTTCACAGACTTTCTTAACACAGGTGGTTCTCAGTTGAGAAGAATTGCTACTGTCTAATAAACTTTTATAAATGTTACTGCTAGTCAGTTGAATAATGACTGAACACACAGTAGTTTGTCTCTGGAAGGAGCTGTGGGATTCTAACCTGCTCTCTCTTGCTAGCAAATACAAAATAAAATAAAATCTTTTAATGACTATCTTAGGTCTTGTAATCCAAGCAGAGGATAAAAGGGATACACAAGGATACTTTTAACAATAATCTGATTTAGTATTAAATATGGACAGTATAAAGAAGGAAAATGACGAACAATGACAGAACAACAGCAAGAGAAACCTCAAAAATTGTATTTAGATTAGAAGTGTTGTAGAAATGAGAGAAAGACAGCATAGCAATATAGAAAGGCAAAGGTAGCTGTGACCCCGAAGAGAAATTTTCCTCTAGGCAATCATTTAAGATACTTGGCAAGAGTGTTGCCAGTAGTGTCAAAAGTATGGTATTGAATCTTAATTTATGCAACATAGGAGTCTGGATTTTCACCATCCAGATAAAATGTTTTAACATCTCTATAACAATAGTTTTCTTCACCCACACCAGTCAATGTATCAGCACTACCTTTAGAAGAAAGGCTGTGAAGTATACTACACCAGCAGTGCAGACAGCTGGCTCTTGTACATCAGATAAATATCCTTGTTTCACTGAGGGAGTGAAAATTTCTTCTAGCATTTTAATCTGAGCCAGCTGTCCTATTCAAAGGCATCACTCACCTGGTTACGGGTTACTCACATACCCCTGTGAGTAACCTGTACTCCTTACCTCTTCCAATAAAAGGATGAACTCTGCTTTTGTTCCTGAACAAACTTAGAAGGATAGTTCTAGACCTGTGCCCATGCAATGTATACAACTGAACAAATAAATCCCTATTTTATTTCAAAACCATCTTGGAGGAGGAGAGATTCTACATGTTACATAAAAGGAATGGACCGTAAGGAGATTCCAAGGTTTTTTTTCAATATGGTTGTTAAATGCTTAAAATAAATGTAGGGATTCTGCAGTTAGAGAAACTATTTTTTAAAATCAAAATCTGTATCACTCATTAAATGTAATTAAAATTACTTGTAAAAGAGCATACATGTATCTGATGACAGAATTTCTGAACTATATATGTAATATGCGTCATGATGTCCCACAGTAAGCCTCATCTTGCTTTCAGCAGTTTGTGTCTTTGAAATGTTATGGAGGCTAAACCAGTTAGAATCTTGATGTCTTACCGAGAATGTCAAAGAGCTTGTAGTGAAGAATTTGATTCTGCAGGTCAGGAACTCTTTAAGCACCAAACATCCCATGCTAGCAACATCTGGGACTGACTTCAGATGGCTTGTAGGTAGAAGCCTGTATGCTCAGTTAAACACTCGCCTTCTTACAGTAAAGTTGTATTTTATTTAACTAATTTTCTGTAATCCAGTTCTATATCTGTAATTTGCAACTAGAAACTGTTGATTTGGTTTTGCAGATACAAAAGTGTCCGTCGTACTACCATTGCCTCTAAGCCACCAGTATGTTTTTCCCTCCCCTCAACCTCAATTTGGAACAGAAGAAATAATTTCCCCATTTCGTGGACCAGTAACAATTGAGACAATCATTTTATGCAGCTAAATTTATTCTCAGAACAGATTACATTTAAATGTGGAGAAGGGGTCAACAGCAGGGAAAATTGTTCTTTTTGGTGTCAATCAGGTGCTTTGCGTAAGACTGAACTCTGCTAATAAAACAGTGAGCGTGTTTCCTTCTTTCTTACCTGCTTTTGCTGACTGTACAGCACAAGTTTAAGCAATGTATTAATTAACCTGCCCAAGAAAGGAGTAACGGGGTTAATGGTAATACCGAAAGGCTGAGCCTACATTAACTGCTGAAATGAGAAAGTCCTCTTTTCCAGAGGTGATTTACTAACAATTTTAGATCCCTAGTTAAATGATCTATGAAATGCTTGATAAAATTAAAAGACAGGGATGTAGAAGTTTTAGTGACACAGAACTGGTGTAAGCTATTAGATACTCCATAGTTTTTGTTCCTCTGTCACAAAAGGAAGGGCATGTTGTTTCAATAGGTGCAGGTGACTCTGCACACTAAATGTGTGACTAAGAACTCATTTTACTGTGAACGGATTCTATGCCCTTCCATGTGATTTTTGTTACTCCTGTTTAACCACCCTGTAGGCGGCCTATCTCCCACACCCCCTTGCTCCCCTTCAAATGAAATCTTAAGTGGCTTCAGTAAACCTACAGCCAGCACTGCAGATTTCAAAAGAAAGGCTTTTATCTCTTAGTCGTGGACTGTGAATATAAATCGCTTTGCTTCTGCAAGGGAGCATATTAATGACATGACTGACGTGATACTTACCTCTAACTTACTACTTGCATTGAAAAAAATTAAGAAATTAGCTTTGCTTTACATGATTTTTCTACAGACTTCAATAAAAACGTGACTACAAGTAATTACAAAGCCTGCCTTTTTTTAGGCAACCTATAGTATACAGAGTGGAGAATGTTACAAGAGCACATCCAGTAAGACATTACATCAACATAATAATGCAGGATATTTCAGTAAAAATAGAATAAATAAAATAAAAATATTTTAAGCTGTATTTAACAGGTTAATTTAAAATATGGCATCAGACATACAAGGCATAGTGAACATGGCTGCCTGCCTACAGAATCACTAGGTATTATAAAAAAATGCATAGATAACTGAAGGGTCGCTATAACATCAACTAAACTGGTGACAGTTCCTCAAACGCACATATCCCATACATACTTTTTTGGCCATGGTAAAAGGAGTGTCTTAATATATTGTTTACAAAAGATATCAGGCTTTGCAATATTAAGCTCTGATTCTGCAAACACCTGGGTGTATATTTAATCTTTTGGAGAATAGGGAGCTCTACTGAAGCAAAAAGGCCACATACCATTAAGCACACTACTTAAATATTTGCAAAATCAACATTTTCTTAACAGACACAAAACTCTTAAAACATATTGGCAAGTGACCTACGGCTTTTCAGGTACCTGTTTTCTCCTCAGCCCTTCTTGCAGTCTCACACTTTGCTAGTGAAAGCTGACTAGATGTTCATAGCCTTGCCAACACCGATGCAGAACCTTTACACTGCTGTTTGCTAAGGGTTGGCTTAGTTTAAAGAAGTCCAGATCTTTCCTGGAGAGAATCAGTGCTGTACAGATGCACCTACAAAATTCAATTATACCTCTTAAAATTCACTGTTGTAGAATAGTTGCCAATTCCAAATCCTGGCATTTCCAGCTGGAACTTTTTTAAAAAGACACTGTCAAAGTCTTTTCTGTAATTTAAAACAAAATTTGAATCACGAGACGATGACAAATAAGGGAAGTTTCCTCTCTTAGCTTCACAATCCTACCTAAAGGTACATTGTTAGCCACCACATTTTGGTAGCAGCCATGGTAGGAAGTGAGTTTTTACACCGCTGCGAGCAGACGTCACTGGGGTCAATACTAGAACCTGAACAAGCACATATGCAAGCTGCCATCTCCATGCTCTGCGATCTGCCCGCAGGGTCAGTTTAAACTGCTGGCACTGCTACGAGGGGTGGGTCTATGCTACCTCAGCTCGGCTCTGTGCTCTCCCTGCCTACCCGGCAGAAGCACTTTCTCCTCTGGCTGTACAAGCACTAGAGCTAGTGCAAAGGAGGTGACGGGAGGGCGAGGCTTGCGAGGGGGAACAATCGTTTCAGTGCCAGGGGTACAGAATGGTGGTCATAAAGAGCTCTGAGATCAGTGGAGGATCAGCTCTTTGGAGGGTATTCTAGAGAGCTAAATTTAACTACAATAGTTGCATAGCTAGCCTTCACCTGACACTTGCTCATACATCATGCTGAGTTGAGTTTAATGATTTTTCTGCAGTTTTCAATGCAGAAATTACTTGAATCATCATTCTCTTCCCCTGTGTATTCCTAAGCTGCTTTGCCCAGGTGTTGCCGTTAATTTCTTTACATAAGGAAATAAAATAGTTTTTTTTATAACAGTCTCTTGCATAGTAAAATAAAAAAAGAGCTCTTGGAATAACAATCTTACCATTGTTCTTTTAAAATTACATTATGACCAGATTTGCAGACTTGGGAGACAGGTACAGTTTAGAACATAACTATAAATGGAGGCAAACATTTTTAATGCTAGCTAAAAATATCTTTAATGATCCCTTTCCAAAATTTGTACCAATCTGCAGGCCTAGACAGAAAATGGTAAAGTGAGAGACTCAAGATTCATAACTGCATTTGAAAATTAGCTTGAGGTACAATTTTAAGGGGCAGTACTGGGCTGATATGTCAAGGTCTGCAGCAGGGTATAAATCAAAGCAATTAGATAAGACTTTGGAGCAAAAGGATTGAAATTAAGTTGTACCACCTGAAGCACTGTCCTGTTAGAAAACAACTTTCTTCTTATTTTGTCACAATAGCATTAAAAGAAATGTCACGGAATTCTGTAAATAACAAGAAACATGATTGTTCTTTTTGTGGCATGTAAGTATTCAGCAACAAGCTCTGAGGCAAAGGGGGAACTGTGCAACCAGATGTTGAATTGAACATTTCATACACCACTTGTATGGAAAAGGTATGGAATACTTTAGTCTCTGTAAGAGCCGTAAGACATTAAAATTACTGACTAGTTCGTTCTTACTCCTGATTGGTTTGAGTCCTGCGTGAAACAAATGGTATTTCTGATGAAATAATGGCAGATTTAGGAGAATAAATTTAACAGCCAACAGTTGCATTTGTATGTTTAAAGCTGAAAAGCTTCAGTGGATCTCCCTGCAACTCAATTACTGAAAACACTTCTGGATTTTTCAGCACTGGTTTGGTATGAAACATGATTCTTCTCTAAGACCATAATGTATAATCTGGAGATGAAATAATGACACCATGATTCAAAAGCATGTCAGGGAGGTGGTTGCTAGACCAATGCTGACAAACAGTTTAAAACTAACAGGTGTAGTTCTGTAAAAAATAAAACTTGGTATTTAATCTACAGTGATTCAATGGTAGCTAATACCTGGTACCTACTCCAGTGTTGAGAACAGAGCAAAGTGCTGTAGGATTTAAGATTGGTTTGTGACAAATCCAGCTCAAGACGGTGAAACTCAGACATCATTCACTCCAAGGACTTTAGCATGAGTTCACTGGGAGGGACGTGGCCATATTCTTTTTTTGTGAGAGTTTAGGTAATGTTCATGTATTTACAATCAAACAGACCTTCCATTGCTCATCATGTAACTCACTGACAGCAAAAAAATTATTCATGCTTCTTTTCATATCACACGATGGTGGCAAGAACGAGAGAACATGCTTGTCTAACATTGTTTCAATAAGGGTAAATTCTCTGAAGACAAAGCATCAGCAATTTGAAATGGAAGGCCAGACACTGTCAGTTCCTTTTTGTTAGTGTAGCTACTGTTATCTTCAGTTAAATGTCAGGAGAATCTTCTCTCTCTTATGCAGCTATGGCATCTCAGTGACCGGGCGTTTCTGTTTCAAAGTGTCAATGAGGGACAACACTCCTCTTTTTACGTTAGTCGTAACTCTTCTAGTCACCGAGTCTGCAGGAGGTGGGGGCGGTCGAACTTTCTGTGAAGGAGGTCTGGCTACTAAGCACTTCTGATACCGTAACTGCAACAAAGCAAAAGCATTCTGCAATCCTTACTGTATCCAATACTTTCCCCGAACATTTTAAATACACTTTTAATACTTTTTCATTAGATGTAGTCAAACCTCCATTTTAGCTGTGACAAACAGCTGAGCTGATGTTAATGAGACATTGCTCTGTCAGTCTGTGGGCAGAAACTGTTGATTAGCACAAGATGGATACTAAATCATATGAACAGCCCTTCAAAAAATGAAAATAAGTTTTCTAGATTCATCTATTCTTGAACAAGGATTATTCTCACTACACTGTCATTGGATTGTATAATACAACTTCAAGCAAAATGTTTTTCCAGCGTTAGATAACTTGTGTAGTGAAAGAAAAGATTTCTGACTTACACAGACGTTGCAGAGATTAGGAGGGAAGTTGATTAAACGGGCATTATTAACTAAATAGAAATTTCAAACTTAAAAATGTTTAGATCTTAATTGATTAAATATATCAGAATCCCTGTTTTTATCTGTTCTTCTTCCATCTTGGAATTAATATAATTGCAAATACAATTATTTATGGAGGCAGTGAAAAATCGAAGTGCTATTAGATGCCTTTGAAGAAGGTCACTTACCATACAAGCAGCCTGAACAGCTTCTGATACATTGCCTGCATTTGGTTCACACCAAAAAACGTGGCACTCAAAATGCTGGTTTCCTGTATCCATAATGAAGGCAAATGTGTGAATGTCCTTGCCTACTCCCATGAAGGACAGGAACCGCACACGACACTCCACCATGACTTCCTCTTCATTCTGGTTATGAATCAGATGATTATTCATTACTACTCGATATTCTGTAGAACTTTACTTTCAATTTTAAGTTTATTAAACGGGGGGCAGACACATGGACATTGATGCAGTATTGCGGAAATCTTTTTTACCTCTCTGCATATACCCCGTGTGCTCAGGCCTGGGTTGGATCTCTCCTTCTGAGTTATCACCAGAAGACCAAGGCTTTGAACATTAGCACTGAGCAAGCATACTGTGCATTTTAAATACTGCTTATTTTGTGAAGAAACAAAACGTCGTGGCTATCACAGCTCCAAAACATGTTTCCCTATCACTGGTATGTTATAGAGATGTTGGTTTAGTACCTCATCAACAGACATACAAAAAAATTACTTGAAAGTTTCATTGTAGTAATCTCTATGGAAAATGCTCTACAAAAGGACAGTGATGTGAAACACAGATTTTAGTACTATTCTTTGCTTCCACCCTAAGAATAAGGTAAATGCAGTTTAAAATTTAGGATTGCTACTTAGGGCTTAACCTACAATATTTTAGGCTCAAAGTTTCTAGAAATGACACCACTGAATTTGTTTTAAGTATCTAGTGAATGCTTACAATAATTTATTTCTGAGAACATGCTTGGAGTGGTAAATAAAGCTGAAGCTGATACAAGCAGTAAGAGTCTCTGCAGAACTAAAATGCAAAGTAAGCAAATGAATTCTAGTGTAAATCAACTGTTTCTACTAGTGTTTGTGTGTTCCTGGTTTTCAACACTCCTATTATGTTAAATGTGTTTTAAACAAGACAGCCTTACTCTTTCGCTAATGACTGTGACAGTAGCATCAGCAACATTCATGGTAACTGGCATCCAGTCTTCTTTGCTGGAGGAAGCCATTAGATTTTCGATGGCACTGTTCAGAGTATCCATTCCTAAAAGAGAAGAAAATGCAATAATGAAAAATAAACACTTAAGTAAACAGTAACAAAATTTTTATTTTCACAAAGTAGTACAGAAAACAGATTGTTTTGGAGTCCTTATTAAAATTAATTTGATGATGGAAGG